CGTAATAAGGTAGTTGCCAGGGTATGAAAAATTAAAATCTGATCAGTCCGTCAGTTAGATAATGAAAAAATATTAAACACGAATATTTTGATTTTTTCGTATGTAGTTACAATACTTAGATAAAATGGCGTTAAGCTTACGAGTAAGTTGTTACGTCACAACGTTGTAACGTCACACGACATTTCAAATTAATCCATCGTCGAAAATATTGACTTTTATGAGAAAAGACAAAATACGAGTGTAATGTTTTAAAATAACCTACTAGACGGACATTAAAATAATATTTAGAAAGTAAACTATCCTATTGTTGTTTTTTTATTTCGGAATCTTGCACAACAGTTTCTCCCTGATTATTTAAAGCACCGTAAACAGATAACTGTTTATGGTGATCTACTCGATCTATTTACTTAAAAACCAAACCTCACGATGACGTCACAATTATTTAAATCAGTGTTGTCTACTGTGCCATATAAAATACAAAAACCGGAAGCTTCAGGCGGCCTCCTTTGTTTTCATCTACAAATAGCCGGCGAGGGTACAACACTACAACACTGGGAACATGGTCACCATCAATTACAGGAGGCAACCGTGGCCGCCGCAGACACAAAAATGTGTGATCGTACACAAACAACTAAAACACACTGTACATGCGCGTACGCAAGTGCAATGACATTTAAATTCAAAAATAAATAAAATATGGAATAAGCTTTTATTCAAACACACTTACTATAATTATATTATGACCAATAACATAAATATGGTATAATCTCATAAAGACCTTAATAATATTAAATTCAGTGGTGCGTGAACTGCTACGCACGTAGTCCCTTGCTACGAGCGTCGTAGCGCGTAGTAGGTCTTCTATACGTAGCCTATGCGTCCAGCAATACGCAATACCGCTTGTAGAAGATCTTCACTTCTTCTGTCTATGAAAGGTACCACGATGTTCAGAAGTATTCATGGTTTGAATAAATATTAAAGTTATGGTAATTAGATTGATATTATTTGGGATGGTCGCTGTAATAGTCAAAGCAATGACAATCAAACTGGATTCTGTGTGAATATCTGAAAGCATTATATCAATTGTATGTTTTAACTGAAATATTTAATGAATAGCTTACTCATTTTGTTGAATACCACACTCCTCAACAATGAGACAATTTTCATGCGGTTAGAAATCTAATTAGATTTATTTTTATCATTATTTATTTCACATACAAATAGTATACCGTGACTTCTTTCGTTCTTTCTTTCTTTCTTCTTTCTTTCTTAGTTGCGAATATTCTTAAAACAAAAACGAATCTCATTCAATCTCCATTTTTTAATATTGTAATATGACTAACGTTTAGAAAAACACAGTTACACGAAAAATTAAACGATAATGAAGTTTGAATGTGATCAAAGCGAGCAGAATAAATATTTAATTTAAATCAATCTGCAGTTGACGTGAGATGCGCGCGAGTGTCCCATGTAAGTGCGTCGACCATTTTTCATATCACGCGTGAACGCTCGGTCGAACGCGACGGATTTAGAGACGAAACCACTCGGAGCTGCGCCTGCGCAGCAGGGCTGTCTCGTCTACCGGTGCTTATTTTACGGCGCCATACTCTTACGGACAAAATAAATATTACATGTGTACTTAATGAAAACTAAACTTGTTTACCTACGCTATTACGCACAATCCCTTTTAACAGTTTTCTACTGGAGTTCTACGTAACTGTACCTGCTGTATAGATTTAAATAAAATATCTCAGTTGTATAACAAAGTGAATCATTAAGCTCGTACTGGAGACATGTTTCCATACACTTTCAATCACATTAGTGTAATAGCTTATTGTGCCGTTTGAGCGAGTTCATTACTTTATTTACTTATATTATTATTGCTATCGTTTGCGGTAGCCATTAAAGATAAATAACTTAGAAAATGTTGAATATAACAGATTCAGTGGAAGACGGTATTCCCTCAATTAAGTTATTAATTACTTTGTTCAAACTGCCACCCCTGTATGGACATTTCAGCTAATTGCTTTTTTCATAATAGTTAGTGCGCCGGCGCAGGGAAGGATGCACGCGCCGCGGAGCGTGATGTACTCGCGATCTGTAAGGAAAGCAGAGGACCCGAGTGAGGGGAGAGTGATAGGAACTGTTATAGCTGAGTAGACTGAGCGGTGATTGATTTGTTGGTTGGTTGAGGTCAGCTACCTCAAACTACCCACAACACGAAACTCGTCATTCACCCAGTGACATTACTATGAGATGTTTATTGCCATTACAACAAGATGAAAACCCAGTAAAAAGACGAACGACGATCCGTATTGCTTACTAACGCAACGTGTGCAAAAAGGGTTAGTCACTTGAAAAATTGCTTACTGTATGGGCAATTTATTTATTACACCTACAGAAAATGCTAGCACTAGGTATAACTGCTTCGTTATCTATGTATTGATACACGCAACATAAAGCAATGTTGTGAAATACTGCTGCAATCAAATGTTGCCATTTTAGGCATATTTCACAGGTACTGTCTCAACTGGAGTCCAGCCACGTACACCTTTTGACTGGAAGAGCAACACGAAGTGTATTAAAAACATCGCAATATTGTATCGTTTTCATAATTTACATCTTTAACATTTACCTAAATGTTTGGTTAAATATTATCACCATTTTTTTGTTTTTCTAAGGTGCGGAATAACTGAAAGTAAAATATCTGCTGTATCAGCATATACCTACAAGATAATTCAAATGAAAAATATTACTGTGATTCATTTCTCTAAGGACTTTTTTTAAGGGGGGAAAATCATCGAATGACTGCTCCCGCCTGGATGAAGCGGGGATCTGGTCGGATGGGGAGCCACCCATGCTCGCCGTCCGCAGGCCCGCGCTTACGGTGGCCGGAGATCGTCTCGCGATCCCCGACGCCCGGTGTTTCCTTGACGATAGCTGGGTTGCGAGGAGGCAGCGCTTCGCTGCCTCAAGCGTCCCGCCTCCTCCTTAGCTAGAATGACTGCTTCGCAAAAGGAGGAGACGGCATTCCAGTCCTCCTCGCGCCGCATCATGACCTGCATTAGGCCCGGACGCGAGAGGTCGTCATCGCCGATCACTTCCCTGAGGGCACGGCGGTGCTCAGCCCACGCAGTCCCTGGATACTAATATCAACCTTCTATTTATTGCACACGACACAATCATGTTACATCATGTCCATGTACAGGTTAAATATATAGCAAATAAGTAGATACTAAATCAGACACAGAATAATGACTCAAACATTTATCTAACTATTATGTAGGTACGTGTATATTATTTTCACAGCAACAGGTTGCAGGCAGGTTGGCTAAATGGTCGATTTAAGTATTATTTAAATAAAATTGTTTCAGGGCTTTTCTACCTACATTTCTGTAATAGGTATCGCCCATGGACACCAAACACCAGAGGCGATATAGGTAAGTGCGTTGCTGGCGCTTTGGGGGTTAGAAATTCAAATTCTTAAGGAATTGAATAGTATAATGGTAAGTAATATACCTACTATTGAATTATACTAATAATTATTATGTAAGTAATATATATCTGTAATAAAACTCTCTATTAATGGATCTTCTCTAATTAAATTTTCATTAATATGACAGGCAATGAAGCGACGCTGCGTAGGCGCTGGGAGTCGGACAGGGCCCGTGCTCACGCATGGAATTAAATTCTCACCTAGTGTTGCCACGTGTCCCGATTTACGCGGGTCATTCCGATTTTCAGGGGTTTGCGTCTCCGTCTTGGTTTGTATCTGATCGGGACGCCAAATGTCCCGATACATCGATTAAATGCAAAACCAAACAAAATAATAATACGGAAATTCGTTACATTAGCTTTGACTGCACGGTTGGTGCGGTGGCTGGGCATCCGGCTGCCGTGCAACGTGTCGCGGGTTCGATTCCCGCACGGAACAACACTTTGTGCGATCCACAAATTGTTGTTTCGGGTCTGGGTGTCATGTGTATGTGAACTTGTATGTTTGTAAACGCACCCACGACACAGGAGATAATCCTAGTGTGGGGCAACGTTTTTTAAAAAAAAAAAAAAAAAAAGCTAGAAGCGCTGCAATAATATACCTAGGGGGGAAAACAAGAAAAACTAAGTTAACGTATCAAAAAATTATCCTCATCACTGTCATGAGGTAAGGTCAAGTTTTATTAGGTTAAACAAATTAAAAAAAAATCTTTCATATGGAGAACTTTTTCCAATTTTGATTATGGAACAAGCCAACGGTATTTTACACACTTTTTTGTATCTACAGTATCTCTTAAAATAATGCTCTGCGTGCTGCTGGCATGCTCTGAGGCTCATCAACGTTGATGCCTTTATGGAAGCCCTGCTTTAAATCCTCGAACTCAAACCTTTCGGTTTTTTTTATCGGATACATTTTAGAGAGTACAGGGATATTGCACAATTTGATTCCCTAAAGTCATTTTCATTATCAAACCACCAGAAAAACGGCAAACATTTCCCGTGCTACTACTGAAATTTTTAAACACCAGTAATACTTTGCCCGCCCCGGTAATCTAACCCGAGACCCCTTGCCTGGCAGTCGCACTTGCGACCACTCGGCCAACGAGGCAGTCAGTTTCATTTCCACATAATAATATTATTATGTATTTTATGCAGATTTTAAATTCTAAAAAATTACTCAGTGATCTACAGTATAAATCAGTACAGTATAAATTAACACTATATAAACCCGCAATATGACATGCAGTGACATCTATTACCGAGTAGCTAAACTGCATATTAATACCAGCCTCATCGTTTTTCGAAATAAATTAAAAACCTGTCATATTATTTTGATCGGTGATTGTCTCATTTTAAATAAGTTATAAAATAACACACTAATCCTTTTTTTATGTAATCGCAATATAATGTAAAAATATTTTATTAATTTTTATTCCTTGCAATGTATTAGAGTTCAAGACAAGTGACACGATAACGAAACAAAACGTAATCACTTTAGTATCTGTGGTTTACTGCAAGCGACAAATTAAAAAGCTAGTGATAAATAATTATTGTGTTTTTCCATTATTTTTAATTAATATGGGGACAGAAGTAGCTATATCGTTTAGTACTTTACGTGCTCAACTAGAAAATGAAAAGAGTAGTTTGTTTAAAATAGATGAAAATATAAAAAAAATAGTGCAAACTACCGTAAGATTCAATGATAGGTTAGTAATCACCTTGAATGTAATTTTAATAGATTTATGTTTGTGTTAGTATCTAATGTATAGTGTATTTTTATAGATTTAACTCCGCTGGAGACTATACCAGAGGTAACAATCGCACAGGAGGAAGAAATGCTTTTCAAGACGGGGGAAGTAATTCAAAAAACGATGAACAATATAATAAGCGTAAACATGAGACCAAAACAGTGTTTAGCAGGTACGTGTGTATTATTTTGTGTATGTAACTTGCAGGCAGCTGTAGTTACTGCGTACGTGCACTTTCAGTTACGTAATGTCACAAGTGCTATATAAATCGTATGCAAAAATCGGGTCTTCATGACTGTTTACAAGCTACACTTTGTCAATCGATAAAAATACCACAAAACAATTTAAAATACTAAATGAACCCATAATGAGTAGCACTATAGCCTTCTTTAATGATTTAATATCAAAGAATTTGGTATTGATGTTGCCTTTCATATCTCAATAGTTGTCCTAGTATGATAACTCAAAATTTATAACCAATAACTACAACTAGACTAGATAGCTACAAACAGACTACTTGTTTTAAAATTTATATTGACATGATGTCCTTTAAACTTTCCAGGTTATCAGCACGAGTCCATGATAGTGATGGTGAGGATGAAGGACCTGGCACTAAGAAAGCTCGGGTACCTTCAGCAGTGTGTCGAGAGCTGCCCACTAGAGCCGATGTACTGCGGGCACAGGGTGATGATGAGCAGGCAAGGACTCGCAACAGACGCATTTTTGGATCACTTCTGGGCACACTACAGAAATTCAAGCAGGAAGAAATAGTGCTGCAGACTAAGGTGAGGGACTTCATCATAATAGGTTACTTATTGCATAATACTCAACCTGCTGTTTACTAGTCATTACAAATTCTATTTCTTTTATTCTATTTGATTACAATTTTATTCACATTAAAAATATTATTGTTTAAAATTTTATTAACACAGGAAGAAAAAAAAGCGCAAGTAGAACGTAAAATAGAAGAACAAGCTCGTCTAGAGAAGGAAAGGGAACAGAAGGAAAGGAAGACATTATTTGCTGAACGGGAACACAAGAAAGCCACTATCAAAGCTTTAGAAGCTAAAATGGCGCGAGTCCAGGAGTTTGAGAAGTGGGAGACTTCACAGAAGAGCCTAGCCAACTTTATACTGACCAAGACCAAACCACATGTTTATTGGCTGCCCAAGAAAATGTCAGAAAAAGCCACTGAGAAATTGGAATCCAGTAGGAAGTATCATGAAAGTAAGTTATTTTGTCAACATGTTCTGTTTACATATTACATGAAGGTGGCACTGTTCCCCACTGAGGATGATAAATAATTGTTTATTTAGGCACTTCATTGCTGTTTAAGACATTAACAAACTCATATTTGTTTACAATTTACAGCTAAATATGGTCCAATATATCGCAGTGAGTAATTACAAAAGAACCAATTTGATTCTATTCATTTATATAGCTTATAGAATGTAATTTTTTTCAGCACCTTTGAAAGAGTTAGTACATGGATGGATACAATATAATCTTTGTTTATTTTTATTTTCATATTAGATTAAGCCTTAAAGTCCTCAGCCATGCACAATAACAGTGTGTAACAGCTGGCATTACTATCAGCCTGTTTCTTCATTATCTCAGGAATGTGATGTGAAATGTAGTTTCTCTATGTTTTAAATGTTCTGTATATTATGGCCATCACCAGTTTCAACTAGATCATGAGAACATGGATGTTTTGTTGTTACAGAATGATTGTATTTGCTTTATAAACATTTGCTGTAAAGTTAACATGATTTAAACATAATGCTACCTGTATTCCAGAATGTATGGTGAAGAAACGTCAGGAGCTACAAGAAGAACTTCAACGAATAGAACATCGCTGTCTCCGAGTACGAGGACCTGGCACCAAGGAGAATGACCCTGACCACCATGACGGAGAGGAGCAGAAAGACGTAGATATGGTAAATAAGGATGAGAAGAAGAAACGAGATAAATTTGCAGCAGATGCTGATGAGAAAGAAGACAGTGATGGAGATGACAGACATGAAGAGGACTCAAAAGTAGAACAGCCAGCAGCTCAGGAACCTATGGGTAAGCATATGTTTTTATACAGCGAAAACTGCAACTCAGGGAATATATATTTAAACTAGTTAAACTGTCAAACACCAAGCGGTCACCGGTGACCGCAATCTATTGTTCTATAATTGTGTCTACATAACCAGTACTCAACGAGTTAATTACATACTGGTAAAATATGATTTACTGATATGAATGTTTGTAGTTACAGAAATAGAAAATGTAAAAGAAGAACCAACTAAAGCAGAAACATCAATAGAGCAGAACACTAGTATGGATGCTGAGCCAGCCAATGAAGCTAGCCAGATATCTCTGGAGACTACACTCAACGACACACAAGCCTCAGTTGACACTGAGAACCATTCCTAACGGGGCTGGTTATCCAACTCCTCTACACCGAGTTATATTACGGTGTCACCAAGTTTGAGAACAGTTGTGCTTACCCTGTATTGCTGTGTGATGTATCATAAGTGTGGGTGTGAAGAATATTTTAATAACATTATTGAAATTGGTAGACAGATTCTACTGTCCTTACAATGATGTAGGAATAAATTCACTGACAAATTGGTACAACTTTATTAAAATATTGTTCTGTAACTTGTTATTTGTTGTATGTAATAGCCTGATAATTCATGATACTCTACTTCCAATATTCATGAATAATACTAAAGTATCTGTTAGAATGTGTGGTTTTAAAATTATAGTAATTAAGTATGAATTTTGTCGCAAATCAAATAGAACACACTGATCTTGAGTATGAAATTAAGAAAATTATATATAACTATAACACCAAAGCCTGTGCCAGACTAGACAGTTAATATGTACCCGTCCGTGTATATGTACTGCAATCTAACTTGTTCCATAGCTTGATATAAGTACCATTGTGCATCAAGTCAACATTATGTCCTGAGTGAGTTGCATTAAGTTGGTGATAGCTTGGAGGTGTCTGGTGACATCTCATCAGTTACTGCCAGAAGAAGTTATCAAGTTTTGATATAGCAGTGTAACCTAGGACATTTATCATATAGTGTCTATTATAGTGAATAGAGATACAAATATTTTACAGTTCCAACAGTAACGGCTAGACATTGGATTACATGATACTTGCTATCATTTATTCCATTACATGATACTCATATAATGCAATGTCTAGTACTGACTAGTACCTATTAGGCATGAAATAAAACAATGGGTTTGTTAAAAAAGTTAATTATTATATTATATAAACTTAATAATTTACAAAAACATCACAGTTTTATTTGCATTACACGAGGAAGCATGTGCTATTATTTGGAATGAGAAAAACTTAGCAAGCAATCAAGCATTATCAATTTATTATAAATAGAGATTAAAAAGTACTCAATATTCTCTTGCTAATATTAAAAAAAATTAACATAATTCCAAGAAACTATTGAGTCTAATATTATTTTCATAGGACTGTAGGTACCACTCAATTTTAATAGCAAGTGTTCCACATCCACCTTTCAATATTACATGATGTAAAGGTAAAAAACTAAAGCAACCTCATTCCTAGCTTCCTATACATACATAAATATTAGGACATACTAATCAAGTGTGAAGATCCTAGAAGCTATGTCGTCGAGCATCCAGTCCATGCCTTCCAGCAGGTTCTCTCCTGTCACGGCAGAACAGCGCACAATGCGCCAGTGGTGGGTTTTAATGCTATCTAGATCCAAAGCCTGAAATGAGATATTTTAGATATCAATAGAGAAATGCACCAATGTAGACGTCTTTTTCTTTCTAAATCCTCATTAATTCCTCATTGTGGCATATCCTACCATTACTCTTTACATAGCACTTATATAAATCCACACTACCATGGTGACCATATGTAGCAGTTTATCACAAGGTAATAAATTGTAATGAGCATTCAGAAAGTAATAAATTATTCAAATTTGGGCATTACTTCTCTAATTTCTTGTAATGTGAGTGCTCCAGGGAGGTCAGACTTGTTAGCTAGCACAAGCAGAGTGGCTCCAGCCAGCCTCTCCTCACGGAGCAGAGAGTGAAGCTCACGAGCACAGTCCCACAGACGTCGCGCGTCTGCACTGTCCACCACCCAGGCCACACCATCTGTACTTTCAAAGTAGTTCTTCCAATATGACCTGAAATAATATTAAACAAAAACTTTAAGGAAAATTGAGGGAAACCGTAACGCTAGTTGTTAGTGTACAATAATTTTCAATATGATTATTAAGTTTGTATAATTCACTTTTTAGGTCAACTTATCTCACTCTACCTAAGGAAAGTTAGATAGTGTGGCAGATATTAAAATTAACGAATCTCGATCCTCAGGGACTTGACGTTTACCGGTGGACTATCTTACCTCAATGATTTTTGTCCTCCGACATCCCAAATGTTGAGCTTGTATCCACGATGTTCAAGTGTCTTTATGTTGAAGCCCAACGTTGGAGATATAGTGTCGATGGGCTCACCATTGAACCGTTTTAATATTGTAGTCTTGCCGGCATTATCTAAACCTCTGAGTAGTAAATGCTAAGGAAATAAAGATATATAAAAGTGCAATAAAGAGGTTATTTTCACTACAATTTAGTTTGAAAAGGATACAACATGAGGATTCTCATTTCTTTCTCTTTTTGTCGTAATTTCTTCAATATCGTGAGGAAACCCATTGTTGTTAGTTACTGATTTTGTCAAAATATTTACTAATTTCAATAACTTCTGCCTGTTTGTTTGTATCTTGGCGTCATGCGTCATCTGGAAATTGATTGGCAATTTGACATTACAATAATGTCAATACTTTTTTCTAGGGCGTAGGGCCCTGCCTTGCTTGGCTCAATGCTAAGGTTACAGTTCTCTATTAGTGCTCTAGTATTTTTAATATTTAAATATAAATTCATCGAATTTATTTCGATACTGTTGCAAATGAAACTCCGTAAAATATACTTTAAAATAATAAGAATGCTTTTTTCCCGAATGAAATCACTCAGAAATCAACTTTTTATCAATAATTCAGATTAAAATTATAATTTAATATTTTGTTACTCTAAATCTTGAGAAAATCTAACAGTATTTCCTTGATTCCCTTACTTCAATTTAGAATCTCATTAGAAATTCTTTGTTTTGTCTGTAGAGACCATAGTGAAATCCCATAACATTCTTCAGGAAATCGAAATTGGAATCCATTAGTAACCATAGAGTAAAATATCCATCCATGGCCGATTTCGTCGCTGTCAAGTCTTTTATTTAATTTCTGTTTCTATTATGAAGCACCTTCGATGATTTTAAGTGGGTTTATAGTGTGGAAGTGATCGTGAGGCGGCGCGGTCTCGGTGATACTGCTCGTTGGCCGGCAGCACCATGTTCAGTGGCACGGTGCGAGTAAAGGTTTGCGAGGCGACGGGTCTCAGGCCGACCGACTTTCAGAAACGGCATAACATGACCTTCGGAAAGCCAGGTGAGCCTCATCTAACGGCTTGGGTGTCTCCCCAATATGTCATTGCGTATGAATGTGTAAAGATTTCCGATACAGGAGCATGATTTATTTGTAATTTTATATTTAAAGTAGGTGTAGCGTGTTTACCGAGATGGGTGTTGGTGTTAATATGTAAATACGGGGTATGGTTGCAGACGACCAGCCGATAGATCCGTACGTGTCGATAGATGCCGACGAGCACCATCTAGACCGTTCCAGCACCAAGCCCAAGACATTCGACCCTGTGTGGAATGAGACCTTTATTCACGAAGTCCATAATGTTGGCAGGTGTGTTATCACTCCATTGATTATTTGTTTGACATGTTATTCTTACTTCATTGTGGATTATTTAACTGTGTCTAGTGCTCTGTATCATAATGGAATACACATTAAATACATTAAATTGTGTGTGTGTGTGTGCTACTCATATGTATAAATATGGTACAATAACAGCTAACACTAAATTAAAAAAACTTACTTTGGAGCACTAAGTCTTGTCATCATTACCAAAATAATACCAATTGGAATGTAAAACTTCTGACAGTGACATCATGTTATGACTCACATGGGAATCAAACCCAATATATCATGTATGAACTGAGTACTTTATGATATTATGGAGTGTATGAAACAACTGTGTAATGCTCTAGTTTGGGGATAACGGTGTTCCACGATGCTGCCATACCTCCAGATGACTTTGTGGCCAATTGCACAATCCCTTTTGAAGACCTTATGCACAGAGACAAGGATGCCACAGACTTTTGGGTGAGTACTACTGATAGTGATGTAGAGCTTTAGTCATTGTTTATTAAGTTACTTATTTAATCACTGGATCTTATGTCAAGGTTTATTGATTACTTGGATATTCTAAGAATAATTTTGAATTTGATTTATAGCCTCTAACACTGTAATTTATAAATTTCACAAATATCACAATTGAACTACCACTTTGATAAAAATTGGGCACAAGACTGATTAACAAGATCCTTAGATCAGTGTGTGTTTATCTAGTGTAATCCACAGATAAGATATAAGACACTGTGTTTACCTTTACAGTGTTATCAACAATTGACATAATATTTGTTTTGTTTGATAAACTGAGTTTGGTAGACAATACTTATGTGATCTCTAGTCTCAAATTACTTGTGTGTCGTGATGAACAACTTCAGGAGAAGGTTTTCATGTCCTGATCCTAAATATGTTCAGTTAGAGGAAGAGGTGTATATTTGTGATCATTAGTGCTGTCTATGTGTGTGTGAATCATATTGTTCATTCAGTTTTCCTGGTTTGTGATGGTCGCTGTGGTATTTATGTAATTGTGTGGGTACATTAAATGATTAGTACTGCTATTTTTAAGATGTGATATTCACTACATTGTTTTGGTAATATTTTTACATTAATTGGTTCTTTATATTTAAAATTGTAAGTGGGATGTTGTTTGTATGTTTATTATAACACATTTATTTATTACAGCCACAGTTTTAAGAGTTGCAACCACACAACAAGTTATTAGATTAGGAAATTAACAATATACTTCAACTGCATTTCTTGGATTAAAACTGACCTACTTATATGTTATTCCCAACTACAATCTATCACTGTGCCAAATGTTATTCAGATCTGTTCAGTAGTTTTCTGTAACAGATGTCAGTCCCAGCATTCAAACTATGAAACAAATATAACAAAAGTAGCTTCATCAACTTTGTCAAGTTATTTACATAACAAGATTTACTAGAAGTAAATAATGTATACAATATAATAACCAGTATCTGCCTTGTATATGTCCTTAACTGATAATCACTTTATGCTAACAAAATATTGCTAAGGTAGTCAGGTGCAATCATTTTCCTGTTGAAACTTGAATACAAGGATATAATTATGTATAGTCCCACTGTCCTATAGGTACAGGTAGTTAGGCATGTAGTAACTGTACCTAGCTATATGTGACATTGTTCTCACACAATTGAACCAACAAAACTATGTAACTAAAGAATTGTATTGTGAACCTGATTGAAAAAGAGTATTGAAGTTTCATGCTTGTTCTTCTCCATAGGAATCTACACCTTGGATTGAGCAATTAACTTTACTTTAAAATTTTTTGTTGACTTTCAAAAGCGGCTTCTTGGTCTAATTTAAATAAATGATTTTGACTTTGACTTTGAGTATAGTTGTGATGTATGCTGTTTCCAGGTGGACCTAGAACCTCAGGGGAAGCTGCATCTGAAGATAGATCTGAAATGGAATTCTCAAGGTGAGCCACACTACCTTATGTGTGATGTACCTATAGTTTTATTCAAGGTATCCAATGTATTGCAATGATGTAGGTAGGGACATAATTATTTACAAATTGAATGTTATGTGGTAATTTATATGAGTTTTTGTTTAGTTTTCCTTTTATCTCAACATAACAGTCCTACCTATGTCATTAGTACAATTATAAAATTAAAATTAGTGCAGACTGATCAAAAACTTCATCAGCAAGTGTCTGAAGTGAAGTGCTTATACTTCTCCTTAGATCTATGTTTTGGAACTAGTTCCAACTGCATGTCTAACTCAAGACCTCTGTCTGGCAATAGCCACAACACACACACACTAAATACAGAACAACTCTTTCAATAGAAAGAGTTGTTCTGTATTTAGTGTGTAATCCTGTGTCTGACTAATCTGGCGTTCTCGAATACTGACTATAACGACATGCAACAAAATAAAAGCACCACAGGTTTCGAATCACCAAATCTGGTGATTCAGTGTCTTCACAATGTGAAGTGATGAAATGTGACCTAATTTCTTGTAACAAAATAGTATTTCTTTTATTTACCAAGCGTGCGGAGCTAGCACACTGATAAGTAAGTGCGACTGTTTATTGTACTGGGATTATACAATTACACGTTACTGGCGGGTTTCTTATTTCTAAAATGTGTAACTAAAACATCAAATGAATTCAGCTAGGCTATTCTGTAAGATGACATTTCGACCTATCAAAGTGAGCTCGATCATATTCTCGCCTGTCATTGCTCGAGATTATTCTCACAACGGATTATATGGCGGAAAGCGGTCGAACTCACTTGAAGAATTGACATCTTACAGAATAAATAGCCTAGATGTGCTCCGTAACATTTGATCATGGCTAAAGTACCCAAAAGATGGGTTTGTTACATCTCTGGTGTTTTGAGAGAGTATGGGCGGCGCCGATTGTTCACCATCACGTGATCCGTCTGCTCGTTTACCAACTTATTCCATAAAAAGCCAATTTATAAAATAGTGCGAGCATTGACCAGATGTGTGTGCACCTTAATCCCGAAACAAAATATTTGTGATGCACTTCAAGCCCCTGAGTGAATAGGTTGCTCATAGGTAGGCGTCCTCCATCGTCGGCCACACCATCGCTTACCATCAAGCGAGATGGTGGCCAAACGTCGGCTATCAAGTATAAAAACAGGTAATATCAGGAAGGTCCTGGTGTTATCACAAGTATTATTTTAATGAATTGTTGAAAGTAATTTCAGTCAAGTGTAGAGTCATCACCAGACAGTGTCTGGATATACCTAATAAAAACCATTACACTCTCTTTTTTGTCGCAAGTGTAAAAAGCTCCATGTGAAACATTCGATCACATGTGTTGTACAAGTGTCCATGTCATGGTGTTAGTATTATTTATTTATATTGGTTGACGTGGTACACACCAGTTATATTAATCAAGGACAACAGGTAAATTTAATTGTAATCTGAAATTACGAAAGAAATGTCAATATTTGCCATATTAGGTTTGCATTTAGTTATGTCTAGTTTAGTTGAAAACATCAGGGGACTAGGAGAAAGAAGTTATGTGGTGGTCAGGGACTCACTTTTACTTCATGACACATTTATAAAGTGACTGCATGGTTGGCGCGGGTTCGATTCCCGCACGGAACACATCTATGTGTGATCCACAGATTGTTGTTTCGGGTCTGGGTGTGTGATATTGTATGTTTGTAAACGAACCCACGACACAGACAGGAGAAAATCCTAGTGTGGAGCAACGTTTTATTTTTTAAAAATTGTGAAAAATGGATTAGTTTGTGACCATTAATCATCTGGTCGCCACTCGTTATGTTCCGGAGTCCAAACAGTCCCCGCAGTAGTAGGCGAGCGTTGTGTGAGTGCGGGGCGCGTGTTGCAGCGGGCGTGGAGGCGCCGCGCGGGGCGGGCGCGGGCGCGGGCGCGGGCGGCCGCGAGTTCAAGGAGGGCGCCGGCTTCGCGCGCCGCCGCGGGGCCATGCGCCGCCGCGTGCACCAGGTCAACGGACACAAGTTCATGGCCACCTTCCTGCGACAGCCCACCTTCTGCAGCCACTGCAGGGAGTTCATCTGGTGAGCATACCGTCGACCCGAGCCATTATAACTAACTGGCAATACAAACAACTCGGTGACGGATAATGATGGTGTTATTTCTTTCCTCAGGGGTTTAGGGAAGCAAGGCTATCAATGTCAAGGTAAGCATCACGATACCAGCACAGGACACTGACTGCTTCCAGCCGAGCGCCAACTAACAGAGTGTTGTATTGCAGTATGTACGTGCGTGGTCCACAAGCGCTGCCACTCGTCCGTCGTGACCAAGTGCCCGGGTATGAAGGAAGAGGTAAGAGTAAGTAACCAATGTCAGTATTAGTACATGAGTACGTGCTTGTGACGGTCCGTGCGTGACGCCATGTCGTGTCCGTGCAGCAACAGAGCGCGGTGGGCGTGTCGGGCGGCCAGCGGTTCAACGTGAACGTGCCGCACCGGTTCGTGGTGCACTCCTACAAGCGGTTCACGTTCTGCGACCACTGCGGCTCCCTGCTCTACGGACTCATCAAGCAAGGACTGCAGTGTGAAGGTCAGAACTTACACTATATTAAAATATTATCTGATCTATTGTCTTTGAAGATTTCAAAAATGCGATTGACTGATAGAGGCAATATTGGCATGACCACTTTAAAATACTTTGTCAATATTGGCATGATTTCATCGTCTTAGAATACCCGTCATATTAATCACTACATTGTTTATTTTTGCTGTTTTGATATTCCCAGTAATAGTGTCGATATGTAAATGTTCTTCCATACAAATCTTAATCTAACAATAATGGACACGATAATTATCCAATTGTCCAATCCAATGGTTAAGGACGCAGTTTTTAACTTTTAAGTAAGATCAAATTGTTTAAATCTTACAGTTAAAATAAAAAAATATCTTATACTAGCTGATCCGGCAAACTTCGTACCGCCTAAAAGTTTTATCTCACCTTTTAAACCTTCCCTAGACTTCCACGAACCTATCAAGACCAAAATTAGCCAAATCAGTTCAGCCGTTCTCGAGTTTTAGCGTGACTAACGAACAGAAATTCATTTTTATTTATATAGATAAAATAGTAGTTTTTATATTTTTGCGATGTACATTGCAGTATGCTCCATGAACGTGCACAAGCGATGTCACAAGAACGTGGCGAACAACTGCGGCATCAACACCAAGATGATGGCGGAGATACTCAACGAGATGGGCATCTCCCCGGACAAGAACCCACGACCCCGCCCTTCCAAGGTAATGCACAATACTGCTAAGTTTACTGGACATCGTTCATCACTAACTCTTGTCGGTTATATTGTATTGGATTGGCTAGCAAATATCTCCGGAAAGATAATCTTTTATTATTCTTCAAAAACATACATGGTTAGACTAGTGGGAGGAATCTAGTGGTCTTGCTTGCGGGTGATATTTTGGTTGCTTTCGGGTTTAAAAGTGGGTTAAGTG